GTATGCAGCTCGTAAAAGTAATGGGTAAAATAAATTTCACTGCCTCATTTCAATTGTGATGTTAAAACCTGTGTTCTATACAGCGTTCTTTCACGCAGGCGAAACCTGTCCAACTAAAATCAATATTAATGTGCGATAGCGGATGCACTCTATGGAGTACTCTTGGTACTATGAACAGAGGAGGGTCCTTACTCGTTGTGCCATCTCTCGGGCAAATAAAGAAGTTCAACCGGTTTTGGTAGCTCTATCAATAAAGTGAATCAGCATTATTAACTACTTTAATCACAGTTCCCGAAATTTGACATTTTAGACTCCCAGATTCTTTTGACCGTATAATCAGTGAAGTTTTGCCTAGAATTAGGAAGTTTAATCTTGAAACGATATTTAGGGATAGAATGTGCACGCTGATACTCCAGAGACCAAAGCAAGTTGCTTGTGCTTCTAAATGTCGTACAAGGGAATGGTCCAGTTGGTCAGATCAAAAGGCGCTTGTAAGGCTGTGAAGGACTTGATAAATGACACACCCAATAAATACTAAATAGGAACCAAGAAGCATAGGACTTAGATGAACCTCAGGTGTGACAGTTACAGTGCACAGATTTGTAGGTAGTTTTATCAAATGCATTTTGTGAGCTGTTTGAGTTCTGATATATTTATGAGCCTGTGTGTGTCAGACATTTCTGAAGTATTTCCCAGTCTTACGAGCGTCTGGCCCACAGACATCATTGGAATCCACCAGGAAATACCACAGTGCTGCTGTCATGTGTGTGTGTGTATGGTGGAATAATTTTGAACTGCACATTCCAATTTTGGACACATTTTGTGCAACCTTGTACAGTGTATTGGCAGCTCATATTTACCCATCAAACTACGCATATCTCAGCCCTCGTGGCTAATGTCCGCAAATGCCTCAAAACAGTGAAGGAAGCCTTGGGGGTAAAAACTTGTGTCGTTAAATAAACCATGAATAAATAAAAAATAATGGGCTACTATAACCACACAGAATCAGCAGATTAATTTGGAGACACCCGGTAGCTTATGGGCCTCATCAGTAAACGTGCGTCGTTTAATACGCCCGTAAAAATGACCCCAGAAACCAACAACCTAACAGAGACTCGAACCGAGGACGTTTTTCGTGTCTGTGACTTTAGACCGCAGAATTTCCTCTCCGAAAAGAAAGAATTTTGCCTTGGCGTCGATCTTTTTTTGCGTTTACGTTCCTGTCAACAGAAACCATCCTTGTCGGGTCTCGAACTCAGTGTCGAGGCCTTCGTTTCCGAAATCTCCTCTTCGAAGCAAAAAAACTCTGATCCCTTCTTCTGTCTCGCTTAGATTCGGAGCCAAAGGAATCGCCCTTGATGGAAATCGAACTCAGGACACTTCTTCCAGAGTTCTGACCTTCCTGTGTTCTCTTACTGGTCAAAATGAGTGATCGGGGTTCGAAGGAAGGAAACATTTTCCTTGTCGCAGGGGCGATGGGATCAACAGCGCTCGGGCCCCTCAAAAATCGTCTTTAAAATTAAACATGACGTTATTTTTAAACAAGGGCAAATTGAATTGCAAAATTTACAATCCTCGTTTCATTATTTTTAAATTAATTTCCTTTAACATAGAAAATATTTAATATTAATTATTTACTTCTTACATTTATGATGGAATGTAACCAAATTATAACTTAGAGTAATTCAATTTGTATTTCTTTTAACTACAAAGAATGTGTAAATATATAACGCTGGTCTTCTTATAAAATACGAACACGTGCAACAATCTCGACTGGCATGCCATAAGGTTCATTTCTCAGTCCTTATGCACGCCTGAATGAACCGTATTGCACTCCGTATACTGACAAAGGGTGAGCCAAGGGTTTCCTATTCGTATTATTGCTCATTACATTTACAGGTTATCATTTACAATTGTGAACTCTTGTAAGAGAATTAGGCTTGTCTTATTTTTAACACAATTTCAAGTAATATTACATTGATTTCTGATCGTTTACGGCATCTCTTGTTCTCGAAAAGAGCGTGGAGTGAGTTGTTTTATTAATTATTTTTGTTTAATTACGTGAAGCTGTTGGAACAAACATGAAGAAAAATGGGGAATATCAGAAGAAACAAAACTGGTGAATCAAACAGAACAAACATGTTAGAGACCTCTACATGGTTTAAATGAATTTAAGAAAGCTCACAAATGAAAGAGTAACTCAGTAAAAAGGTGTTCTACTTGCAGTATCCCACAGTATTCTGAGAAGGTTTGTGAATTACACGACTTAAATCTTTTGAGCGCCCACGGGGTTAAAGATGTTATATATGATCGCATATGTCTGCATTTTTAAGTTTAGACTATTTCTGAACGCATTTATAACCGTCCTACTTTACATCAAGTCCCGTACTACATAATAAATGGCACATCTTGTTAGCATGATTGATACAAAAAGCTTTTAATGCCGTTCAGATATTTTAGAGGTAGCAAGGTAGCGTGTAGACGGCCGGAATGTTTCACTGCACGTCCCGATTTTTACTTTTCTGAATGCGACTACACCATTTACACTCTCTGCATTTTCCATACGAAATCAGTGCAAAATGGCGCATGTTGTAGTTAAATTAAGCGTCTTCTTGTTCATAATTTTTGCTTTTGATAGCGACAGATGTTTTAGTGACGTAACAAAGTGTGATTTAATTAAGGAAGACTACATCGATAAAAGAAACAAACCAGTCTTGCTGAAAAACGTAAGTCCAGAACTTGGCACAAAGCTGGATAACACGTTTGATATTGTGCTAATTGAGAAACATACATAAGCAGAAAATAACGACAGCGCGTACCAGAGTACACGGGATTTAAAGGTGTTTTGAATCATTCTGTTGTGTAGCTTCGCAGCTGTATATTAATAGTAAAGAATATAAATTTAGAACTTTTTAAAATTTGCAATTTTATTTTGCTTAACAAAGGGGATGTACTACCTCCAAATGTACGTTGCAAAGATCTGATGAGGATATTATGTGTATTATAGTAGGGAATACACATTCAGAGATTGTTAAAAGTTGTTTTCTGTCTTATGTATATTCATCTAATGGAAAGTGATTGTGGAGAGAACAGTTGAAACACTGAGGACCCTTGTTTTGTGTTATGGATTAATCAATGACTGACTTGTATTGTGTACTAGAAAGTTTGAAATGTCTCCTAACTTGCTAATTTTAAAGCAAAAGCATTCATTAAAGAAAGTGCACGTTATTTTACACAACCTTATTTTGTGTTTTGATAAATGTAATCTTCCTAATATCTTCTGTGACAAATGTAAATCAATAGCAGTGCAACACACAAACAGCCAATGCACACACGATTTTATGTGTGGCTGAAGTTCAGATTTCAAAGTTGAGACAAATGTTTAGCAATAAATATTAACATTAAGACGTTACAGAGAATTCTTGGATTATAAAATGCTGCATTCCGTGTGTCCTCAGGTAAATCCTCTACTCAAATGGGACCATTTGAACTAACACGTTCTCGTCTCATGAGGGAATCGAAAGAAACCCAGAAAACTCTGACTGAGAGGATCACAGCATTAAACAAGAACTACATAATGCTGGAAAAACTGATTGAGATATTCAATGCAGACAGTAAGTATGGTGGAATTTTGTGTAAGTACTGAGGTTAAAAGTACAGTCTATAAGTCACATCAGTATGATATTCTGTTAATTATGATGTTAATGCATGTCTATCTAGATGTCCAGATGTGCCCCCCAGACCCCTCTTCCAGTATATTTTGAACTTTCTTTAATATAATGTGTTTGCCCCCAAAAAATTAGTTGCCATGACTTTTGAAGTAACCCTCGTATACACTCACAAGAGGAATTTTATAATTCAAAATAATTATCAAATGTTACAGAATATGCAGCATTGCTCTTGGAAGCACAGAAGGTGTACACAAGCAGCTTGTTGCAAGTGATAGATCAG